GCGACGGCAATGCAATATTTTCATAGTTTTGGCTGATCACGTTTCTGTTTAAAATGTTTAGAGCACATATAAAGAATGGTAGCTTGTTTTTATTTTAATTTCGGCGAAAGAATGTGGTAACATGTTACCCGACCACCGGACAGGGAAGTTTGAAATCCAACCAGTCCGATACGAAAGTTACCCGTCTCGGGCGTGCGGACGGGCAGGAATTTCCTACACTGCGTCAAGGTTCCCAACATGCTGATCAATGTTTGATAAAAAATTTCGGCAATGCCCTGTGTCTGTGCGTGATACGGACTGCTTCTAGATTTCTTCACACCACACTGATGACAGAGTTGTGTGACTAATTGACTCTCGAAATTGCGTCCTTGGTCAGACTGTATTCTCTTGGGGAATCCAAATACGGTAATGAACGTGTCCATTAACACTTTTGCAGTCTTGGCGGTTTGATTGCGGGTAGGTACAGCGAACGCGTATTTGGTAAAATGATCCGTCATTACCAGTATGTCTTTAGAACCATTCTTGGATGTCTCAAGTGTCAGGAAATCAATGCATAGTAACTCTAATGGCATGGTACTCAAAATAGGAACCATAGGCGCTATTGCTCGTCCTTCTGTGGTAAGTTTGCATCGTATACATCTATCACATTGCTGAACATGTTGTATGACGTCACGTGCCATGCCGGGCCAATAAAATGGAGATCGTACGAGATCAAGACTCCTGTCCTGTCCCAAATGACCTACCTCATTGTGAAGTGCCTCCATCTCCATCTTGCAGTAGCTAGGTGGTAGATATAGCTGGTAAATCACTCGGCCATTCGAATCGGTGACTCTACGATGCAAAACACCATTTCTTATGCAATACTTCTTCCATTCACGAAGGGCTGCGGAAACCTGTCTTGTTTCTTGAGCACGGTGATATCGGTCTGGCGGGGCTCCAGCTACCACGTAATGATAAACTTTGCCGATAGTCGGGTCTTCACGCTGTAGTGTCTTCCATTGTTCGCTAGTTACTGTGGGCAGTGCGGCTGTACCCTTTGGTGTTATCTCGGCCACCGTCTGTGCGCGACTCTGTGGCACAACTCCTGCAAGTTCTGCTGCTGGAACCATTGGGCTTAGATGATTGTCCAGCAATGCAGTCACTGTCTGGTTACTCATCACTGTGGTGTCTTTTGAGTCGGGTGGAATCCAGTCCAACCATAGGGGACATCTCTCAGAATCAGTTGTGAAACCACTCACTGGTCTGCGGCTCAGAGCATCAGCGTCTCTATTGAGTGTACCGGCTGTAGCGTACATGAAAGTCGACATCTGCGGGTCTGGAAATCCAGCGATGGCTAGTTGCGTCAAGTTTCGCAGTGGTCTGTACATAACAAAGTGGGTTATTGTCAGTCAGGACTTCAAAATGTCGACCAGCCAACATATCAGGAAACGATAGCCCACTTCAAAGCGAGAAATTCGAGTTTATGAACTGGATAATTTTTCTCACTTTTAGATAACCCCCGGCTAGCGTAAACAACGACTCTATTCTTTCCATTATGCTTTTGGTATAAGGCAGCGCCAAGCCCCATGAACGACACATCGGTATGAAGCTTGAATGGTTTCTCATAGTCGGGATATGCTAACACAGGTGGGTTGGTGAGCTGTTCTACCAATGGACTGCCGTCCAGTTGAAAGCTAGCATCCTTGATCTTTCCAGTTTGCCATTGTTGGTACGTTTCTTGGTATACAGCCCCTCTGTCAATTCATATAATCATTTGGCAATCTTTGAAAATCCTTGTACAAATCGGTGGTAATAACCTGCAACGCCGAGAAAGGTCCTCACTTCTCTAGCATCGCGTAGTACGGGACAGTTCTTGATTGCTTCGGTTTTGTCTGGATTGGTTCGGACGCCCTCTTCCGACACAATATGGCTGAGGTAATGTACATTTTGATGCTTTAGCTTTCAAGTTATGGTTTTCTAATTTTTTTAATACTTGTTCTACTCGTCTACAGTGATCCTCAAATGTGCTTGCATATATCACTATGTCGTCTATATACACAGTGCAGGTATTGTATACCAGCTTCCCTAAACATTTTTCCATAGCTCGCTGAAAACTGCTGGCACTATTGCAGAGTCCCATGGGCATACGTAGGCATTCAAAATGGCAAACCAGGGTGACGAAAGCCGTTTTCTCGATGTCTCCCTCAGACATTAATAGTTGCCAATACGAATGTTTCAAGTCTATAGTCGTGAACCAGGAAGCACCTTTAAACATTACCATGCTTTCCTCGATGCGTGGCAGTGCGTAAGCATCACGGATTGTTTTGGCGTTAAGTCGGCGGTATTCAATGCATAGCCTCCATGTGCCGTCTTTCTTCTTAACCATAACTACAGGAGCAGCGTACGGTGAACATGATTCCCGAATTATTCCGCATTCTAGCATGTCTTGTAAAATACCTCTCAGCTCAGCATACTTGGCTGGTGCAAGTCGGCGATGTCGTTCTCGAAATGGGATGTCATCGGTCAGTCAGATTCTATGCTTCACTAGGTCACACTTCCTTAAATCGGTATCTCCTTTTGAAAAGACACTAGCGTTACAACGGAGCAGGTTTTTAACTAATGTCATCTTTTATGGTGGGAGCTGAGTTGGTGATATGTTGAATTTAACACCTTGTATTTGCATACTATCTGAAGCAGTTCCTTCTTGGCTATCAGTGTCAGCTTGAATACTATTGATTGAAACTACTGCTTGGATATTAGCAATTGCAGCTCCTGGACGCACTGTGATGCTATGGCTACTGCAGTTGTGAAGTCTCACAAGCACTGTGGCTCGGTTGGCTTTGCATTGGAGGACTGCCACAGATGGACTCACCCAGGCATCTCGACAACGACTTTCGGTTGGTTCGACTGCGACTATGTACTGGTTTGTTCCAATAACACTGTCGTCAGGTCTGATTATCATCCTCTTGGAAATGGCAGCATGGGCTGTGCCGACATGTCCATTGGGTCCTACAAATCGCTGTCTGGAATCTAATCGGTCTTTGGTTTGTCGTCCTACAGCTGACATGTGTAGCGTGGTTTTCTTGTGTTTCGACTGATGTACACGTACTGCTGCAAGGCAGGGTTCCAATATATTAGTACCGAGAGTAACAGGAACTTGGGTGCTATATTCGCTATCTGGCACAATAACTGCCAGTTCGTACATTTCATGGGGGATACCATATATCGCTACTGGAATGTCAAAACGCAATCCACAGTAGCCTATTAGTGGGACAGGCTGATCTCCAGCTCCTAGGACAATAAGATCGTCATCAGACAATGGTTCAATTACTATCTGTATCAAAAACTTGTTGTAAAACCATTTAGATACAGTTGTAATTTGCGAACCGATGTCAACTAAGCACCGAGCTTCATGCCCTTCTACTGATATTGTCTCTTCTGATGGATTTTCCACCAATCGATTGCGGACCCGAGTGTGAAGTCGGGTGTTTACAGCAGGTGTAGCATCTGTAATTGAGGGCATAGTCTTTTTGTGACATCGAAATTGTTGCATCGATCTCAGTTTATCAGGTCGGTTATCTGTATTAGCTCCGCTTACATTGTCAGTTCCAGCTGACTGCCGCTGTGGTCTGACTCGTCTCGGGTTGTTCGGGCACTCTCGGGTATAATGATCATTGGTTCGACACCTGTAACACTTGAATGTCTTTTTCGTGGTGATGCCGATGGGGGTACCTTTGCGGTGGATGCGAACGCGATAGCAGTACGGATTCGGGCATCCATATCATCTATCCTATTAACCAAGGAAGAGAACGTTGTGTCAAGACATGTCCGGAAGGCGCGTGCCATCTGTTCAGGAACAGCAGCATTCTAGAGAGGGTACTCTTCGTCATCTCCTTGCATGGGTGGCGTTGGCTCTAATGTCGTTTGTTGAGCTGCTATAGGACGTGAGCGGTGATGCGAACGTACTCTTCAATCTGGAGTCAACATCATATGGTGCGATGCCGCCTCTGTCGCGTATTGAGTCTAATTCCATTTCCAATCTCAGGGAATATGCTGCTATGTTTTCTTTTTCGCTCTGGGCACTTTGATTAATGAACCCTATCAATAGGTCTTCAGTGGCACCAGCGCTTCCGAATCGGCTGCGAAACTTTGTGTGATTAATTCGTCTATTCGTATTGGCTTCGGCATCGAGTTGGCCAATGCTTTTGCTGTCCCCTTTAGGGACACTTGAATAGTCAATATCTGTTCATCTATGCTGTCGCTAGTCGTTTCCCTGTACATCTCAACATCTCCTAGCCAGGACGGGGGATGAACTTGTCTGCCGTGTTTGGTAGCATTGTGCATTGTTTGTTCTATTACCAACTCGTCTCAATGGTTCACTTCGCGTTTCACACCATCAAGTGCACGGCGTAACTTCTCAGCATCTTCCGTGCGCTGACGTTCAAGTCGGCATTGAAAATCATATTCATTGTCTCTAGCTTCTTTTCGATGTGCATCTTCGAGTTCTTGTTTTTCTCGTTTATATTCATCTCGTATAGCCGTCAATTCGCCAAGAAGCTGGCGTTCTTCTACGTGGCTGTCACGTTCACCCTGGAACTGAGCAGCAAACTCTGTGCGAAGTTTCTCCATTTGTCTTTCACTTTCTGTCTTTTCATTTTGCTGCATCGTCTGGAGAATTCTACTTGGCGTCATCACCCTCGTTGGTGGTGGCGGCGTACCATTCGATGAAGTCTGTTCTGTCATTGTGGACCAATTGTTGTACAGTTCCGTTCAATGCCAAAAAAAGGAGAACTCTCATGTCCCACGTTGGACGCCAAATCCTTATGCCACACCCCAAACTTGGTGTAGCAAGGGTAAAAACTTTTACTGGTATCAATCACCACTGCACTGGGATATCTGTTATACGGTACTCAGAAACCTATATATTTTCACAGATCATTAATAACTTGTTTGGCTCTGAGAGAGAGTGCACCACGAAATAAATGTTAATTATTGTTATAGAAATAAACTCACACTCACACCTGTCAAAGTTGTGTTTCAGTCTTCCCCAAATCTCAGAGGAACAACATTTAATCAACAGACCGCTAACAGCAAACAGTACAACGCTACCCACAATGCACTATTACAATGGGTATTGGAAAAGCTCAACAACTGTAGGAAATACAAATGTATGACCTTGAAAAAGCACTTCCATGTAATTATCAAAAAACGAAAGACCAGTCAAATGAGAACTGACCAATGAGGGCGCTCTCCGTCAATACCAAGAACTGTGTGACCAATATGCTGGTAAAGGTAACTCACCAGAATGTGCTCTAGCATTTATAGAACACGAACACAGTTACTACTATAACGCGATATCGCTTACAATAAAGAAAGTAATATCAATCTGTTTAATTACAGTCTTCAGAACCGTAAGAGTGGTGGTTCCACGCTCAAATATTGATATATTGATCAAACGATAATAATATAACAACGTCAGAAAAGCATTCACAATTACTCAGAAAATTAGCAATAACAGTGATGGTTAACCAGAGCATAA